TTGCTTTTTTATGATCAACTCTGATATCCTCCTTGTTATTTTTCCATCGTGCCACACATGGATTCTCATACTGTGTATTTTCCATATTTTCTGTCTGCAGTGTTTTTTTTTTTTTTTTTCCTAAGCACTGTTGAAAAAAGACAAAAATTAAAAAGGTTACACTTTTATCCACCATAGGTTATGGTATCTGATTTCAGTTTTCTGATTGTCTGGTTCATTCTGTATGGTGGCTTCTTTTAAGAAGAGGCATCTTGAAACTGTCAGTACCTTTCCTCAGCAGGCAGTCAGCTTATGGTATGAAATTTTTCTTGTATGAGCCTCTTCTGCCATTTTCCTTATTCCTCCTGTGTCTCTTATCTGTAAAATAATGGTTCAGTTTAGAACAGGTTTACCTTGCTTGTCACATTCTTTTCAGACAATAGAAAATCTGCCTATTATTTTATTATTTGATAGATTCAGATAAAATTCTTTTCTCTTTTTTTTTTTTTTTAAATTTTGCCTAGGTAGGTCTTCCTAACTAATTAGGAAAAGTAATAAGTTTAGAATCAGTAAATAAGGCTTAGGGGCATAGCTAAAAACAAATATCCACTTTGACCTATACCAGATGAGGATTTTTCTTTCTTTCTTTCTTTTTTTTTTAAAATTTGAAAGCTAATCTTAGAAGGCTGGATAGTTTCTCCACAGATAATGTGCTGCTCTTGAAACTCCTTTTAGAATTTCTTCAGAGATAATTTTTTAATCTTTTTTAAGGGATTATACCTCATTTAACAATAAATAGTACTTATTTGAGGTACTTTTTTCTTCATGACAAAAACAAATAAATCCCTTCTTAAAAATCAAATTAGGGGGCTGGGAAGGTGGCTCAGTGGAAGAGTGCTTGCCTTGCATGCCTGAGGCCCTAGGTTTGATTCCTCAGCACCACATAAGCAAAAAGAAAAAAGCCGGAAGTGGCACTGTGGCTCAAGTGGTAGAGCATTAGCCTTGAGCTGAAGAGCTGAGGGACAGCGCCCAGGCCCAGAGTACAAGCCCCACAACTGGACCCCCCCCCAAAAAAAATTGTGGATTAAAATCAAATTAGGGCTGGGAAGGTGGCTCAGTGGTAGAGTGCTTGACTTGCATGCATGAGGCCCTGGGTTCAATTCCTCTGCACCACATAAGCAGAAAAAAAGCCGGAAGTGGCGCTGTGGCTCAAGTGGTAGGGCACTAGCCTTGAACTGAAGAGCTAAGGGACAGTGCTCAGGCCCAGAGTTCAGGCCCACGACTGGACCCCCCCTCAAAAAAAATAAATAAAATCAAATTAATCTTCAAGCTGGGCACCAGTGGCTCATGCCTGTAATTCTAGCTACTCAGGAAGTTGAGATCTGAGGATTGCTACTTGAAGTCAGCCCCAAGCAGGAAAGTCAATAAGAGTCTACGTTATTGCCAAGAAAACTACCAAAAAGCTGGAAGTAGAGCTGTTGCTCAACTGGTAGAGTACCAACCTTGAGCAGAAAAGTTCAGGGACAGTACCTAAGCCCTGCATTCTAACTCCAGACTGGCAGGTACACACAAATTACCTTCAAAGATGAAAGGATTTGCCACCTTGTAGGTATTCAGAATTTTATATCTTAGGTTTTGAAAGCAATTATAGCAGCATACTGAAAAAAAATCATAGTGTTGTTGACCTAAGTGTTTATCCTCCTTAAGCCATTAAGCAACATGTAAGAAACATTTTTCTTATATTTAGAGATCTCTATGTACTTTGTTTATACACACACACACACACACACACACACACACACACATTTCTATTGTTATAAGGGTACCATTTCTTTCATTGGGCAGAGTCAATGTGTTTTCCTCATGAGTTTTGGCAAGTGTAACTTTTGTCCTGTCCCTAATGTACGCTATTATTATAAAATGTATTCCTGGAACACTTTAGCTGACATTTTAAGAAGGCACTGATTAAAAATTAGTAACCATCTGAGAAACTTCTGGCTGTGTTAACATTATACAGATAGTTACATTAATAAAATTGAAGAGATGTGTCATTGTAAATTGGGGGCATAGAAAAATGGGTAGAAAGACAGAATTACCATGCTGTTTAGAAACTTTCTAATAGGAAAAAACCTGCACTGTTGAAGGCGTGGCTGTATTGTAAAGATGAGATTTATTGTGTATCACAGCCTATAATATTTCCTAGGTTGGAATTCCTTCCTCCTCAAATGAAGATTTTATTTTAATTAATTTATTTTTGTTGGTAGGGATTGAGCCCAGGGCCTGGGCTCTGTCCCTAACCTCTTTTCCTTAAGGCTGGTGCTCTACTACTTTGAGCCATAGCTTCACTTCTGGTTTTCTTGTGGTTAATTGGAGATAAATGTCTCATGGACTTTCTTGCCAGGGCTAACTTTGAAACATGATTCTCAGATCACAGCCTTCTAAGAGGCTAGGACAGGTGTGAGCCACCATTGCCTAGCAAATGATCTGATTTTAAATGAGTCATGCTACATAATTTTTCTCAGGGAAAGATGGTCGTCGATGCTATATGCTTAATAAAAAATAGAGATACATCTTGGGATGGAGCTGATAGATGTTAGTACTTAATATGGCTTTTATGTGTTAAGTCAGAGTGAAACAATCACACTTGTTAAACAGTTTTACTCTGTTCCATCTATGACACCTCTTAACTCCCTTAACAGGTTTTCTACCTATTACTAACCTTCCAACAGCTACAACATTGTTATTCCACCGTGTTCATCTCTAAACATGAATAGAATGGGCTCTGGATTTTAAAAATGATACTGAAAAGCCTGTATGAGGGAACAGTACTTGCCTTGTGCCAGGAAGAGTAGTTGTCACCAGGAGTGTACAGGCCAACATGTTATAAACAGTTGAGCGGTGCTTTTTTTAAGCTGAGATTAGTGCACATAGAAATAATGGTGGTAAGTGCTATACAAGAAGTGTTGTAGGAAGGCAAAAGAAAAGTAATTTCTCATGGAAAATGGGACCTTAAAAGATGACTAGAGGGCTGGGAAGGTGGCTCAGTGGTAGAGTGCTTGCCTTGCATGCATGAGGCCCTGGGTTCAATTCCTCAGCGCCACATAAAACAGAAAAATCAGGAAGTGTGCTGTGTCTCAAATGGTAGAGTGCTAGCCTTGAGCTGAAGAGCTGAGGGACAGCGCCCAGGCCCAGAGTTAATGCCCCATGACCGATCAAAAAAAAAAAGATGAATAGAAATTCCCTGCTCCTGCCATGAATAGAAGTTGAAGAAGCATCTGTTGTTGAGTGTATACCCTGAAGGGAAGCATGACTTGAACTGGTAATAGTGATGAGAGATAAAGCTGAACCCACTCAATTGTGAAAATCAAATAAGAGTGGCATTATCAGCTCTGTAGTGCAGAAAAAAAATATTGTAGAAACAGAAGATGGATTTGAGAGAGACTAGGGAAAAGGATCAAAAGAAGAGTTGGGAAGCACTTCACCTAAAAAAGTAGGCAGTAGGTAGTTTTTTTGTTTTGTTTTGTTTTTTTGGTGGTGTCTTCTGTCCCTCAGCTTTTCAGCTCAAGGCTAGCACTGTACCACGTGGGCCATTGCACCACTTCCAGCTTTTTCTGCTTATGTGTTGCTGAGGAACTGAACTCACGGTCTCATGTATGCAAGGCAAGCACTCTACCATTGAGCCACCTTCCCAGTCCCTAGTTTTTTGAGATAGAATTAATGGAAGTGGTTAACAAATAAGATGTTGGGATGAGTTTAGGAGGAATTTGGGAGCACAGGGTAGAAACTGTTTTGGTGCTAGGCATTCCGGTGTGCTATCCTAATTGTTATACTATACTGAAAGATAGTATTTCCTTGGGGCTGGAAATGTGGCTTAGTGGTAGAGTGCTTGCCTAGCATGTATGAAGCCCTGGGTTCGATTCCTCAATACCACATAAACAGAAAAAGTCAGAAGTAGCACTGTGGCTTAAGTGGTAGAGTGCTAGCCTTGAACAAAAAGAAGCTTAGGACAGTACCCAGGCCCTGAGTTCAAGCCCCAGGACTGGCAAAAAAAAAAAGAAAAAAAAAGTATTTCCTCTTATTATTTTATAGCAAAGAAACAAGGCCTTATTGTTAAATTTATTAATACATAGAATCAATATGCATTAATAATTACAATTTCTTAAGAGAAAGAATCTTGGGGTCAAAGAAGTAATTGCTATAGTCACATAATCTTTTGAGTTAGTTTGTGATACAGTCAGTAATATATTACTACTTTTCATGGTTCTGTTATTTGACTGACCGCAGCCAGAAAGCTGTACCTTGGGAACTTATTTTTCATTACAGTCAGATGGCAGCTGGAACTATAGAGGCATGTAAAGCTTCAAGCATGCTGCATGTGCTAGATAGTTTCTTTATTCTTGGGTCTAGACTGTCAGCTGGAATGGCTAAAACTGGGGAGGCTGGTCACTGGGAGGCCTGCCAGTTTTTTCTTACCATAAAATCTAACCATCCTAGCTTTCCTCACTTGACTGCACAGAATCTTGGACTTTATAATGTCTGTTCACCCTCGGTGGGAATTGTCTAAAACCACCAGGTGGCAAATATGTGATTTCTTTATCATTTAGGCTTAGAAATAAAACATCATTACTTCTGCTACTTTCTGTGAGTTAAAAGTGAGTCCTGGCATCAGCTCAGCATCAAGAGGAGGGTATACCCAAGACCATGGCTATGTAAGAATTGTCTTTGGAGACTAGCTTCCTCCACACACTGCTGTCTTTAGGATATGATTTTACACTCTGGAAATAGATGAATCCCAAGGTGCCATAGTGACATATGAAGTAGGTAAATCCTGGAGAACACGAAGAGCAGGCAGTTAAAAACAAAGCAATAGTCAGGTCTACTCGTATTATAGTATAACCAGTATAATCGTAACAGTCTACAAATAAGTGAATTTCTGACTCGAACTTTAGGTATCAAGTGTATATATGTGAGATCGATGAATAGGAAAGAAAAACAATGCTCTTTGTAGTGCATAACTATCATTCGTACATTTAAACCGTCGAACCATGGTAACATGACAGATCTAAGGATCTGTAGCGCTAGTAGCAATGATTCCTCTTTGACTTCTGTGGCATCATAGTCTCTTAAATTTTCTTCCAGTCTCCTGACAGTCTGGTAGAAAGACTATAGTGCTTCTGGCTGCCTCCAGAGGTTGCTGGAAAGAGAAGAGGTCTCTGTGTAGAATGAGGAGGACAAGGGAAATGAGCATAATAGCACAGTTCTACTGGTATTGTTTAGCTCTAAGAATGTAAGATATGCCATAAAGTGAATTTACTGTACTAAGATGGGGCAAAGACAAATATTTTGTGTGTGTCTATGTTTCTTTAAGGTATTTTCTTTAATTAAATTTGTTTTTTATATTTCAGAGCACAAAGTTATCATTGTTGGGTTGGATAATGCAGGGAAAACAACCATTCTTTACCAATTGTAAGTATTAACTACCTTAAAAATTAGTTGTTTTCAGTTACTTTTTCTGCCAGGTGATATTTGATAAATGAAAGCAAAGCAATTTATGTGGACGTTTCTCAGTAAGAAAGCAAGTTGACCATAAACCAGAAGCCAAATTTAACCAAATCTTTATAGAAACAACTAGACATTTATGACATTGAGCATGTTGTTCAGTTGTTTTGTACTAATGCTTTTTTGCTTTTGGAGAGGTGAAAAATATTTGTTTATTGACTTTTCTGGAATGATCTAGATTATTACTCAATTCCAGTTCCAGTTCTTTTAAGTCTTAATTTGTTCATGATATGAGTTAGTGGGAAAGGTATAATTTGCTAAAAATATAAAAGGTCAGGTTGCTTTGTTTCTCAGCTAAAAATGTTTAAACAAGCTAGCTCCCTTACTGATTATAATATATATATATATATATGATTTTTTTCCAGTTCTATGAACGAAGTTGTACATACATCACCTACAATAGGAAGTAATGTAGAAGAGATAGTGATCAATAATACACGTTTCTTAATGTGGGATATTGGTGGCCAAGAATCTCTTCGTTCTTCCTGGAATACTTACTATACTAACACAGAGGTAATATTTCTTAATATGCTAAATCTTCTATGAACACAGTGTTCTGTAAATCTTTAGATTTGAAACTTTTAATCTTTCAAAAATATAAGTGTTTTGATATATTGAGTTTAAGCATAGTAGAATATTTGATTTGGTATTATAGTATTGCATTTCTGGAAGGAAAATTACTAATTGATTAGTCTGATTGTGTCATTGGTTTTAGATTGTGTTTTCATAATGACTTCCATCTCACAGTTTGTAATTTTATTTCTTATATTTGCTAAGGGGGGCGGAATTCTAGTTAAATGAGAGAGGACTCTTAAGGTTTTGAATCTTATCCAATTGTACTGTGCATTTTTTATGCGACACAGAGTATTTTTTCTTTTGGTTCTAAAGCATTTTAGACACAATCTTATGTTTGTATTTACATGTTTCTTCCCAGGAGAGGGCTTTAGGCATATTCATTTGTATACCTATAAAGTGAAGGGGCTGTAGCAATTGTTTCTTAGTGCTGATCATACTCTAAAAGTGTAAGGCTGACTTTAAATCACTAAATAACAAGGATATGTAACGGTCTGATAACCGTTAAGAATTTAATTATAATTTTTGGAAAAGAAGAGATGTATATAATGATGAAGATACTAAATTATACCAATACCTTGGAAAGTAATAGCTGTATTAAAATGCTTTGGAACAGAATGCATATGTAGTAATAAAGCCACTTAGTACGCTAGCTGTTTTCTTATCCACTTGCCTCTGGATATTGAAATCCAACAGTAATTTGTTGGAAACAAGTAAGTAACTTTTAAAAAGTAAATAACTGGGAGCCAGAAGCTTGTGCTGGTAATCCTAGCTACTCAGAAAGGTGAGACTTGAGGATCACCATTTGAAGTCAGCTGGGACAGGACAGTCTTATCTCTTATCTCCAATTAACTACCCCCCCCCAAAAAAAAAGCCAAAGGTGGTAGAGTTCTAGACTTGACCAGAAAAGATCAAAAACAGGTCCAGGGTTCAGGCTCCAGGACCAGCACAGAAGGGAAGGAAAGAGGAAGGATTTTTTTTCTTGCCAGTCCTGGGGCTTGAACTCAGGGCTTGGGCGCTGTTCCTGAGCTGCTTTTGCTCAAGGCTAGCACTCTACCACTTGAGCCACAGCACCACTTAACTTCTAGCTTTTTCTGTTTATGTGGTACTGAGGAATCGAACCCATGCTAGGCAAATATGCTACCACTAAGCCACATTCCCAGCCCAGTAGGAAGGATCTTAATGATAGGCATTAACTTAGGCATTATAGATTAATTTATCACTGTTTCCCTCTTTCTTTATAGTGCTCTTAGAATTGAGGATCTTTCATTGTGTCTTCTACCAGTCTCTTCCTTGGGTTAAGAAAGAGCTCTACTTTCAGGAAACAGATTTAAATTACTCAAGAGACAGTTTGTTTTTTAATTTAAAAGTTTTCACAAGGAAGAATTTAAAATGGAAACTAGCCCTGGTAGAAGGGATGTCTCTTGGTATTTACCGAATTGCATAAAACAGTTTTAGATACCTTCCAGATTTGGAGTATAATGAGCTGTTATGAAGTTAGATATATTATTTACTTTTTTAAAATTCCAGTGGAGCCATCAGCTTGGTTTCAGTCTGTAACATTTTAATGGATTCAAAATAAATTATATACATAGACATTATTGTAAAAAAAAAAAAGCAACCACTTGATTTAACTGTCACATTACTTATATTCATGTCCTTTTCAGTTTTCAAATGGATATCAGTAAGAAATATATGCCTGGAAGTAACTTAATCTTAGGACTGTAACTTTTTTTTTCTTATGATAAGGTAATTTTTTTTTAATTTTTTTTATTGTGAAAATACTGTATAGAAGGGTTACAATTACATGGGCAAGGTAATGAGTACATTTCTTATCAAGCATTGTAGCCTCCTCCTTTGTTTCCCCTTCCCATCCCATCCTCCCCCCACACCCCCCTTTTAAAGGTTTTTTTTGGGGGGGTCCGGTCGTGGGGCCCGAACTCTGGGCCTGGGCGCTGTCCCTCAGCTCTTCAGCTCAAGGCTAGCACTCTCTTCTGGCTTTTTTCTTTTTTTGCTTATGTGGTGCTGAGGAATCGAACCCAGGGCCTCATGCATGCAAGGCAAGCACTCTACCACTGAGCCACCTTCCCAGCCGGTAATTTTTTTCTTTATAGTGCAAACAGCTGGATATAGGTCCATTAGTATTTAAGACTAGTTTAGAAAACAAATGTATTCTGTTTTGATTAAAATATTAGCATCATGTTACTTTATTTTCCTTAAAAGTCAGTAAATATATTTGACTTAGACATGGATGAAACCTTTAGACTTTATACTCCATAGCAACTATCAATGGTTTTCAAGTAATACCATAAGATTCTAATGTCTTGGTAGGCATGTAGACTCAGGCCTGTAATTCTAGCCTTCAGAAGACTGAAGCATGAGGTTCTGGAGTTTGAGAGTAACCTGGGTTATTTTGTTTAGATTCTGTCTCCAAAAAACTGTAAACAAAACAAAAAAAAGAAAAAAGGATTTTAATCTTGTGGTACTAGGAGCCTTTATAGATTTTCAAATGCAAAATTATGTAATCACTTTTTTTTATGTGATCTTTTCAGTTTGTAATAGTTGTTGTGGACAGTACAGACAGAGAGAGGATTTCTGTAACTAGAGAAGAACTCTATAAAATGTTAGCCCATGAGGTAAGTCATCTTTTTACCTTAGATACTGGGGGAAGGAAATGAGAATTTGCATCACATTTGTTCTTCCCAATTTCTCATGGGGGTGCTATTTCAGAATTTAAAAGAAACATTAGTTCTAAACATCCAAATCTAAACTTTTTGTCAAATGATCCAACTTTTCTAAAACTTCACATATGAGGCTTGGAGAAACAAACTTATAACTATAAATGGCATACAGAAGTTGCTAAGTATATATCTCTTGAATTTGCTATTCATCTCCAGTAAAAAAAAGTGTGTCATTTTAAGAATAGATATCTTCAGTATGTACAGCAGGTAGTGTTTAAAATGGCTCATGTACAAAAGATCATGTTTGCCTTAAACATTGACATCTTGCTCTGTCAAATTGATGGATTGTCTTAGTCCAGTATATTTTCTGCTGATTTCATAAAATAGGTAAAATAGATTTACTTTTACTAAAGCTAAATCAAGATCACTAAATAAAATTTGAACCTTTTCAATGTAAAAAAAAATTATATTCAGAGTTTTATTTTGGAGACCCTTAAATAAATGGCTTTATTGTGTTTTCATATTTTTGGCTTAGGGATTTCTCCAAATAATTTCAAAATTAATGCTGATTACTTATAAATAAAGTAGCATATAGTATGTATTATGCTAACTTGTGTCAGAGGTTTGTTCTTTAAATAATACCAGCATTTGCAAGCCTGACCTATAAAAGACTTGAGCAGCACTAGGAAGAGTTGTTGAAACCTAACAGGATAGGAATTCAATCCCATGGAAAATCCATTTACTTAGTGGCTCAGTCACATATCAACTACCAATGATGGTCCATTTTCTATTTAGGATAAGAGAGAAAAATAGTTAATGTCCTTGATAATGACTCAGTGCAAGTTATAATCAATTTCAAAATTTTTGGCCTTTTATAGAGCTACATGAATGAATTATAGTTGAAACTCATAATATTAAAATGATTAACATCTAGAAATTTTCCTTTCTGAACCTGTTATTCAAGAACTGTTAGCTGTGGTACATTAACAGCTGCCATCCTGAAGAGGGCACTGTAACTAAAAGTCAGGCCTTCAAATAGTTGGACAAGGATTAAGTCAATTTTTTTGTTCTATAAAATGTTTTACATAATCATTTTAACTAAATAAGAAATTTATATATTTTTCTAATAAAAAGATTGAAAAAGTCATCAAAACCATATTCAAACAAAGAATCATGTATGGAACAGTATCAGTTTGTTCTTACTGATTTTTTTGGTTGTTGTGCTGTATTGGAGTGGTCTCTGGGCTTAGAGCGCTTGATTGGCTTTTATTATCAATGCTGGGGCTCTGTTGCTTGAGCTATGCCTCTGGTTTCAGCTTTTTGCTGGAGAAAAAAGTCTCAATTGTGTCTGGTTGGGCTGCCTTTGAACCTCAATCCTCAGATCTCAGCTTCCTGAGTAGTTAAGATTATAGGTGTGCCTTGCTTGGATTCTTTCTTAAACACAAATATATACAATTAAGATCACAATCTCTAAGCAAAACCCTGGATTCAATCCTCAGCACTGCATAAAAATGAAGAAGAAAGACAACATTTAACACAGTTGAGAAGATTAACAAGCACAACAACAGAACATTAGTTTTGTCAATATTGTTCTCTATATAAGTAAAATTTTATGGGACTTTATCAGTTCTAGCCTTCATGGTTTTGTGGCCTAAGAAAAATAAATATAATTTAGTTCTTGTACTTATTCTCAAAATTGTACATAAACTTTAAAAAATATTTACCTGCATGCATTTTTATCAGGAAAAGGGTGGTAACTTTGACTTGCTATCCAGTAAGTTTCGTCTTTGGCTTTAAAAACTGTTTTGGGGTGGACACAGTGGGCTGGAAAGAGACTAGGAACTTTTGGCCTATTCTAGGAATAAAACCTACCAGTCATCTTGTGATATGTATAGTTCCTGTATTTGGAAAGGGGTTAACTGTGGTGGATATCTTGCTCAGATCAGGTTTACAATGAATGTTAAATTATAAAAAAACAAATTCAGAAAGTTGAAAGAACTTTTCTGAGAGTCATAGCATAGAAGTGTTAGAACTTAATATCTAACTGGGGAAATTTGATAGGTTTATTGCCCATCTAAGATGACTGTTACTCAAATTTATGAAATCTTCATGGCAAGGCCTTTGAGGTTTGAAGATGAATATAGTTGAATTAGGATAGTCTTTCTCAACTGAGAATTAAGCACTAAAACTCTTAAGATAAACATATGTAATGAATTCACTTATTGCCTGTGCATTTAGAAGATATTAGCTATATCCACTGTTGGAAGACATTTAGTATAGCCATGGTAATCATTTTTTATAGAACTTTGTTCTTTCGCGGAACCCTGGTTGCTAAAAGCTGGTTTAGGAGATTGAAGGGTGGGCAATGTATGCAGTTAAATGATTTGAATAATGTAGAGATAAGACTGCTCAAAATGGTTCAGAACAGTAGATAGGTGATCAATTAAAGCAGCATATTTAAGCCAGTAAGGTAGCACATGTCTGTGGTACCAGTGCTCAGGAGGATTGAGTTTGAAAGCATACTAGGTTACCTAGTGAAACCTTGTCTAAATAAATAAGTACATAAAATCAATAAAATAAAGCAGAATATTAGATAATGAGTAATGTTAAGTCAGAAAATGCAAAGTAAAATAGAAGAATATAAGAAGGGTAGAATTTTGGCAAGTCTTTGAGAACTAGATAATAAAGAGCTACTTTTTATTGGCCATAAAGCTTACATCTTATATTTGAATATATTAATATATTTGAATATATGAAATACAAGGTACAATAAAAATGATAAATATGTAAGTTCATACACTTACATATTTAACGTTTGTTCAATTTTAAGTTGGCCTCTCCAAGCCTATGAGCTGTGACTTAGTTTAGGTAGAATAATTAAAGAAATTCTGAACAGAGGCTGGGTCTGCTAGTGGAGGTAAGATGATTGCTTTCTGAAAACAGCTGGCAAATAATTGTGAGACCTTTTTGAAAAGTAAACTAAAGCACAAAGGACTGGAGATAGAGATCAAGTACAAGATTCTAAGTTCAGTTTGAAACCCAACACTGTTGAAAGATGAAAAAAAAAACCAACATTATAAGCAGGCATAGTTGGGTGGGGTGCTGGTGGCTGAGAATAGAGTTTTAAAAATAAAAATAGATTCTAGGTTACTACGATTATGGAAAATTTGTTAGTTGAATTGGAAAATAAGTAGGAAAATGTATTCTCATTAGAAGTTTTGTTTGCTTTCATAGGACTTACGAAAAGCTGGATTGCTGATTTTTGCTAATAAACAAGATGTTAAAGAATGCATGAGTGTAGCAGAAATCTCCCAGTTTTTGAAGCTAACTTCCATTAAGGATCACCAGTGGCATATCCAGGCATGCTGTGCTCTTACCGGCGAGGGGTAAGAAGTCTTCCCCTTAGGTAACATGTATTTAGTCTAAAAATGTATTTCTTAAAATCACTTAAGTATTTAGAGGGGAGTTGTGTAACAGTTGAAGTCTACAGAGATTTCTTTTAGAATGATTCTGCAAATACTAAGACACAGCATAAATATAATACACATAAATCCCAACTAATACATATAAAGATGATGCAGTTTCTGGAGGAGCTCTTTGAGAGTTTGAAAAATCAGGAAATGCCTGTTGTGTTGATGGAGCTTAAGAATTAACCATTGCTAAGCATGTCCTATCTCTGGAGTGCTTTCCATACAATGTCTTAGTTAATCCTTATGACCACCCTACAGGATAATTGTTCTTACTCTTATTTTATGCATAAAAAAGCCAAAAGAGGAAAAGACTCAAACCTGATATAGTGATACTCGCTGTTTATTATATCACTGTTATCTGAAGGAAATCATTGCTGTGTGTTTGGTTCATGGGTAGACTGCTTGGCCTAGCAAATGCAAGGCCCTGGGTTCAACCTCCAGCATTGGGAAAGAAAAGTTATATGGCATGTGAATCCTTAGCTCTAGAGAGAGGTGTTGGAAAACTAGTGCCAAGAGGTGAAAGTATTTCAAAGTAAAAGTAATGGATAGTTCAATTAAATGTTCATTGAGTTTAATAAAGAGTGAGTAAATTCAATGAAGCAGTTAATCAGAACAAATTTTATGTATTGGGAAAGTGGGCACGGGATGGTGAGTTTAAAAGGGAAGTGGATTTTAGGATAGCATCTCTAAATGCTTTTAAGTATGACAAGAAGAGAAGGGAGAGATTAAACAAAGGAAATTTCATCTGGATAAAAGCTATAAGGAACTGGGCACTGGTGGCTCAGACCTGTAATTTCAGCTATTTGGGAGACTGAGAGCTGAGGGTTGTGGTTGGAAGCCAGCTCCAGCAGGCAAATTTGAGAGTTTCTTGTCTTGAATTAACCAACAAAAAAAGGAAGTGGAAGCACAGGGGTGGCTTCTGGTGGTAGAATGCCACCTTGAGTGGAAGGGCCAAATTTCAAGCCCCTGTATGGAAGGGGGGGAATGATAAATGGAAGAGCAAAGTTTCTGTTGTTATTTTTGAAAAATATGACAGATCTATATGTATTTAAAAGCAAGAATAAACAATTAGAGACAAGGATTCTATAAAGAGGTCTTTTAAGTTTTAGGCTGAAATTCTTGGTATATTTTGAAAGGGCAGAAATAAATGGGGTAAATGAGAAATTCTTACCTTTTCTACACCATGATGAAAGGTGAACAAATATTAATGAATTCTCAAAACTGAATCTTAGTGAAGTAGAAGACTTGGTTTTCATTTTGGTATTAGACTCCGGTGGTTCAAGAGCACACACTATGGAGGCTGGCCTCACTATTCCTCATAATCTGCCACTGCTAACCTCGGTTTCTCTAACATGGAAAGATTTTGATCTTACTATTAAGACTGAAGTAATGGCTGTTAAATGATTAGTACATTTTCTAGGTAAGGGCTGCTCATTTAACAGTTTGGAGTTAAATTACCTAGTTCTTAATTTTATTATTTCGAACTATCCCTATTGGTAATAAGAGAAAAAACAAAGCCACTCCCAAATAGCCATTTGTTTCTTTCATTGTCACTGACTTTTAATCTTAATATTATTTGACTCTACTTGACTCCAAAAAATTTGAGATTTGAAAAATAAAATTTAGCATTTTATCATGGTCTTTTCATGGCTACAAAAGCTCATAGTAGATAGTCATTAATAGTAGTTAACCCTTGATTTTGTTGTAACATATGTTTATAGCCATTACCTTCTTGCTAAACATTTGTGGGGTTTTCTTGTTGTTTTTATCATAATGAACATTCTTTTTAGTATTTGGATTAGTTCAGTTACCTGTCATTCAGCAGTAACTGGTTTAAGTAATATATTTTATTGCCTTCAAATTTTTATATCCAAGTATAAAATACGTATGTATATACTCAATAACACTACTATAATATCTTAAAGTATTTTTTTTTGGGGGGGGTCCGGTCGTGGGGCCTGAACTCTGGGCCTGGGCGCTGTCCCTCAGCTCTTCAGCTCAAGGCTAGCGCTCTACCACTTGAGCCATAGCACCACTTCAGGCTTTTTTTTTTTCTGCTTATGTGGTGCTGAGGAATCGAATCCAGGGACTTGAGCATGCAAGGCAAGCGCTCTACCACTGAGCCACCTTCTCAGCCCCTTAAAGTATTTTTTGAAAGGAAAATTTTGTTACCTGATTTTATTTTAAGGTTACATTTCTAGAATTAGCAAAAGTGTTACAGAGTGTTGGTATTTTTAATATTTTTGACATATGTATGGGTCAGGCAGTATTTAAGGCTGAGTGTGTTTGTGTATTTGAGGTTTTGTGTTTGTGGTACTGGGACTTGGCTTGTTAGGCAGATGCTCTGTCACTTGAATGATTTCTTCATCCTGGCATTAGAGCTACAGTAGAACCAAAAGTAGATGTACGGGGTATAAGAGTGTGGCTTCAAAAAGCCAGGCGCTGGTGGCTCACGCCTATAATCCTAGCTACTCAGGAGGCTGAGATCTGAGGATCGCAGCTCAAAGCCAGCCTGGGCAGGAAAGTCTGTGAGACTCTTATCTCCAATAAACCACTAGAAAACCGGAAGTGGTACGATGGCTCAAGTGGCTCGCCTTGACTGAAGAGCACGGGGACAGTACCCAAGCCCAGAGTTCAAGCCCCATGACCGACCAAAAAAAAAAAAGAGTGTGGCTTCACTGTCATAGTGTCAGAATTGAATGTTACTGATTTTTTTTTAAGTCCTTGTTCAGGCTAATGAAAAAATGTCTTAGTTTGTAGACTGTAGCATTTTTAGGTATGATTTTAATCATAACATTTTGTTTTCTTTCTAGATTATGCCAAGGACTCGAATGGATGATGTCACGACTCAAGATTAGATGATCTCTACTGTCCTCTTCTCATGAACTTTGTATAAATGAAGTGCTGGACTTTACCTGAAAGCTGCAAAAATTAATGGTTTAGATATATTTATAATAAACTTTCAAACTTTTTCTATAAGAAGAAAATTAAGACCACTTATTTGAAAACAAAGATGAAGTTTCACCTTCCAATTTTCTTTCTCATTATTTCCTTCCAAAGTATGTTATTAAACTGTGATTGACATTTTTCTCAATGAATCCTTTCAGGACATTGTAGAGCCTGTGGTAAGTACAAAGGGCGAGGAAGACATTTTGAAATTTTAAGAGCTTTATTATCAGTATAATACTCCCTAGTTGATGTTACTCTCTTCTTGTTCCATTGAGTTAAAATACAAATCACAGATGTTCTTTCCAATTTTTTAATGTAATACTACTTAAGAAAAGTATTTTGTTTAGGACTGTGTATGTATGTATACCTCAAATTCAGGTTAATGTCTTGATTTATATTCTGTAGAAAAGAAAATAACACAAAAATTAATATTCTTGGATAAGTACTGGCCTTGGTGTTCAGAGCCATTTTGTACTTTTCCCTGTGTTCTCTGTATTGAACTAACCAGCTTTCCCAAATCATTGAGCTGCTCTTAAAAAAAAAACAAAAAAACAAGAATCCTTGATATTGTGTAGCTGCTTTTTGTTGATCAACAACACATGGAAACATGTAATCAACCAAGAGGAATATCAGTCAGAGTCTTGGCTTAGTGTTACTAATGGGCAGAATTGCACAGTAAGCAATTACCAGGTTATTCCTTTTGTTCGTTCTTACACCATCTAAATTACAGAATGAACTTTTAATTAGCCAATTATAAATTGTGATTAAAACTATCAAGTTTTTTTCCTGATTATAAGCTATTGTCTATCCATGTCTATCCAGAAAGGCAGACTTCTATAAATATTATTAAATAGTTTAACTGCAGTCTTTTTTTATTATTAAGCTAGATGTCAAGCAGTTAAAATGGATTTGTGAGTATAAGGCATCTGCCAAGCAACATTGATCATTTCTTATTTCACAAATTTCTGATTTTAGTAGTTGGGATAGTTTGAGACTTTTTTGTTCCTTTAAGTTTTCTTGTATCTTCTGTAATATAAATGCAATGTTTAACAACTGTAAAATATGAATGTTTTTGAATGATTTTAAGAATTTGATTGAAAAGTTGACTGACTTGTTATTTGTACTAGGAAATAAGTTGAACCCAAACACCTTTTATATTTGCTTAGCGTTTTTTTCTTTTTTTAATCTGAAAGTTGAACTTCTGTTATAACTAGAAATAGAATTATCCTATATTAACACATACACTTGAATAATCTATTTACTTTTTTCACGTCCTGAAAATGTTAATCCAAAAGTTAATCCAAATTTAAGAATATTCCAGGAAAAAAAATAACTCAATCCTTTTAAATTTTAGATTTTGGTTAAGACATAAGCCTTGAAAGAATTTTGAAAGTTCTTTCTATAAGATAAGGAATAGTTAATATCTAAATCCAATTCAGACATGATCAATGTTAACATTGGAGGTTTTGTGTTTTGTATTTGTGTTATGTTCATAATGCAAACAGATTACATAGTATTTGTCAACATCATTTCTGACAGTAAACCCTAAATTACTAAACTTTGTTCATAGGTTCTCATACTTTTTCAAATCACTATAAAGTGTATTAGAAATTCTTGGGGCTGGGAAGGTGGCTCAGTGGTAGAGCGCTTGCCTTGCATGCCTGAGGCCCTGAGTTCAATTCCTCAGTACCACATAAGCAAAAACAAAAAAGCTGGAAGTGGCGCTGTGGCTCAAGTGGTAGAGTGCTAGCCTTGAGCTGAAGAGCTGAGGGACAGTGCCCAGGCCCAGAGTTCAAGCCCCACG